CCCACATGTGACAGGTAGGCAGGCGTGCCCTCCACGGCGTGGTGCTGACTGGGCAGTGGGAGCTGGAGTGGGAGGGCTCCATGCCGTCTGTGGGAAAGCCGGGCTTCCCGTGGGATCACATGTGGCGTCAGCGGCTCAGGCCAGGTGCAGCAGCCAATTGTCATTTCTCCCTTACTGAGCGTCTGCTTGACAGTTTTAATGGCATTTTTATTTTCAGTTGGTGGTGACCTAAGTGTCGTTGTCAGGTGCCATGGAATCAGTTCCGACCCTGTGCATGACAGAACAGAACACGACAGGGTCCGGCAGCAGCCTCCCAGTCACAGCTGTGCTGGAGCCCACTGCGGCTGCCCCTGCGTCAGGCCATCTCACTGAGGACTGTCATCCTTTTCTCTGACCTTCTGCTTTCCAATCTTAAAGTTGGCGGTGGTGATATAAGTACATGGGTTTTAAAATGCTGACAGTGCAGAAGGGACTAGAAGGAAACATTCTCCACCCCTGCTCCCCAGACCCCCAGGTCTCCCTCCTGACTCTCCTGCCCAAGACAACCCTGTGGCCAGGATCTTTATCTCCTAAAAGAGTTTTCTTTGCATTTAAGTGTATGTATGATTTTGTGGATTTGAACGTATTGTACCAGAGGACTCTAAATGCTTGTGGGTAAAAGAATGAAAAGATGATGGAGTTTTTCCATGAACTCTTTGGAAGCCCCTTCATAGATCTGAGGCTTTACCATACTCATTAAGGAGCCCTGGTGACAGTGGTTAAGTGCTTGCTTCCGAAAGGTTAGCAGTTCAAACGTATCAGCCGCTCCATGAGAGAAAGATGAGGCTGTCTGCTCCCCTAAAGACTGACAGCTTTGGGGACCCTCTGTGCTCGCTCTGATTCAGAATTGACGTGATGGCAGTGGGTTTGGTTTGATACCGTATTAATTATTCTCTGCCTTTTTTTCTCCATTTGTGGATTAAAATGATAAAACCATTCAACTGATAAGATTTGGTAGACAGTTAAAATACTTGCTTTTCTACTTAATCTACAGTCACTAAGAAGGGACTTAAAACATTTTGTGAAACTATTCCAATATCTTTTCATTCCATTTTTCTCCATGAACTTTTTGAAGCCCCTTCATATAATTTCCAGATGATCTGTTTTAAACACCAGTTTGTTTCCTGCCCCTTTTTGCATCCCCTCAAGTAGACCCAGTCTGCTTCTCTAGCAAAATTCAGTTTGAGTTCCTCCCCGGAAGAGATTTCAGCGGAGAGACAACTCAACATGTGACCTAACCAATGCAGCCAGCTTCCTGTCAGCACAGTTTGGATGGTTTAACTGGGCGATACATGTGTTTCATGTGTATTTATCACCAGAAACTTGAAGGCATTTTGGTTTCTTAATTGTCTAAATAGAGCCGCCTCTGGGAGCTCTGCTGATAACCATTGGCTCTACAGCTCATAACGGCTTTCCTGGTGAACAATGCCTATGACTCCTTCCTTGTCAAAGGGAGCTCCAGCAGTCAAACAGGGTGACGGCTGAGAGCACCCATTGTGGACGTAGGGCAGAAACAGAGGCAAGAGAAATAATGATCCTCAGGAATAATGGTGCCTCCCAAAGCCCAGACTGTGTTCTCCTGCGTAGTGGACAGCAGCAGGCTGGGCCAGCAGGAGGGAAAGAGCTGACTTTCAAAACAACCGGATGTCTCTCAAGTGTTTGGTTTTGATCAGACATTTTCTAATTAAAATACAGAGGTGGCATGTAGTTGCCATCGTGAAGTGCTGTCAGTTCCGACTCAGCAACCCTGTATTGGGTTTCCAAGGAGAGGCTGGTGGATTTGAACTACCAACCTCGTAGTTAGTGGTCCAGAGCTGACCCTGCATCACCACCCCAGGGCCCCTTAGAGGTGGTGGATGTCATGAAAATGAACTGTGGAGACATTCAGAAGTCTATCAGCAAGCTGGCTAGAGGCTCGTTATCAGGCTCTGTGGGGCATTTATACAAGAGGGTTCAAGACACATAGAAACTGGGTGGTTTTTGTTCTATCTTACAGAATGTACCTGAAACATGGGAGCCCGGTTAAAATGATGGAGAGTTACATTGCAGTGCTCACAAAGGGGATATGCCAGAGTGAAGAAAATGGCTCCTTCCTCAGCAAAGACTTTGATGCCCGGAAAGCATACCTTGCAGGCTCCATCAAAGGTGACAAAGAGAAAAGGAGCAAAACAATTGTGATGAATCTAATCAGTGTCACAGAATTAGATAAGTAGGAATTATCGATTGGGTATATGTTTTGTTGTGTATATTTTCACCTACCATAAAAGAACAGAGAGCAGGAAAACCCACTCCAACATCCTCAAGCCAAGGTTGTTGTCTCCTGTAGTGTGCCTCATGCTGTCTTTCTATGTTTTGATCACCAACGTCTCTAGTTTCCTGACCGTGTTAAAATTCTGTCTGAGGAAAGCAGATTTCTGCGGTGATCCTGCCCATAAGACTCAGGGAAACGCTCTTTCACCATGACTTGGGGTCACCATTGTTTTCCTTCCCTTAGTTCTGGAATGGGGAACATCTGGCCCTAGGGCCATATAAGGCCTTGCCAAGGCATCTACAGTTCTAGCCATCATGTTGTTAAGTGCTGTCAATTCAGTTCTCACTCATAGCTACCCTGTATAGGGTTTCCAAGGAGCTGCCGGTGAGTTTGAACCACCAACCTTGTGGTTCACAGTCCAGGGCTTATCATACAGTGCCATACCAGGAGTCCGCCATCGTTGTTGCTAGGGGCCATCGAGTCGGTACTGACCCATAGTGACCCTATGCACAGCAGAACAAAACATTGCTCGACCTTGGGCCAACCTCACTACTGTTGCCATGCTTGAGTCCATCAATACTGCCACTTGGCCAGTCCATCCTATTGGGGTTCTTCCTCTGACCCTCCACCCTACCAAACATTATATCCCTCTCCAGCAATTGGCCCCTTCTGACAATATGTCCGAAGTATGAGCGATGAAGTTTGGCCATCTTGACCTCCAAGGAGCACTCTGGCTGCACCTCTTCCAAAACAGATCTGTTGCTTCTTTTGG